TCTTTTCTCAGCACCAAAAAACCCCCAAATCCATTGACTCTCAGATTCACCCCATGCTGTCCAGCATCCCTCCCACCCCATGCAAACCCAGCATCCCTCTCGCCCCATGCTACCCAGCATACCCTTCCACCCCATGCTACCCAGCATCCCTCCCACCCCATCTACCAGCATCCCTTCCACCCCATGCTACCCAGCATCCCTTCCCCACCCCTTGCTACCCAGCATCCCTCCCACCCCATGCAAACCCAGCATCCCTTCCACCCCATGCTACCCAGCATCCCTTCCACCCCATGCTACCCAGCATCCCTCCCACCACATGCTACCAGCATCCCTCCCACCACATACTACCCAGCATCCTTCCCATGCTGCCCAGCATCCCTTCTGCACATCCACATTATCGGAGTGTATCTAATGTTTCCTTAAATATACACAGTAGGCAGTATATGTGTGGGCCTTCAATACCATTGTAAAATTTAAGAATGTTGCACAGTACCAGTTGGTCTATTAGGCCAGCAACCAGACGACCTAGTCTGGGACCGGTCCGCGGTCCCGGGAGTGACTACCACCCATGGGATGATTTAAAGTGCCTAACGCATAAAGATGGGGCATGAGGTGACTCCCACCCACCGGATGGGGCATGGAGTATACAAAACAAATGATGAAAGTAATCTAGTGGCTGTGATTTCCCATTGTGGTTTACTCGTCTCAGAATCAAAATGGCGATTGTGATGACACATTTCCTGTGCCCCACCCATGGAATATCTTGCTTCTGTAAGTGCAAATTGCCTTCTATCCTCCTTCTTCTGTCAACAACCTGTTCAGCAGGCAAATTCCAGCCTCACCCAGACAACCCCACCTCCACCCCCCTCCACTCTCACAAGCCATCACCACATTTCCCACGTTTGCATTTCCGACCATAACTCGGGGAGCATAAAGGGAAAATTTATGAGGCTTTACACAGTATTATGCCAATGACTTCCGGTGATTTTCCTGAATTGCTTTCGTAGGGTTGTGTGTGGGTGTGGTAGTGTGTCGTGGTGGTTTAGGTGTGGTACGGGTGCGAGTGTATATATACCTGGAAAGTTTCGGGGGTCAACGCTCCCGCGACCCGGTCTGTGACCAGGCCCCATGGTGGATCAGGCCTGATCAACCAGGCTGTTACGCTGGCCGCACGCAATCCAATGTACGAACACAGCCCGGCTGGTCAGGTACTGACTTTAGGTGCCTGTCCAGTGCCTGCTAGGAGACAGCCAGAGGTCTATTTGGGAATCCCCTTATGTATGCTGGGAGGCAGTTTTAACAGTTCTTGGGCCCCTGAAAACTTATTGTTGTTGTCTCTTTTCGTGCTAGCGGCACCCCTACTTTTCATTGGGAGGACGTTGCATCGTCTGCCAAGTCTTTTTCTTTCGTAGGGATTTTCCAAATGTTTTTAATCATGTATCTCTCCTCCTGCGTTCTAGGGAGTACAGGTTTAGGAACTTCAAGCGTTCCCAGTAATTGAGGTGGTTTTATCGCAGTTATGCGTGCCCTGAAAGTTTTCGGTACATTTTCTAAAATCAGCAATTTCACCTGCCTTGAAGGTGCTGTTTGTGTGCAGCAATATTCCAGCCTAGATAGAGCAAGCGATCTGAGAGTGTCATCATGGGCTTTGCATCCCTAGTTTTGAAGGTTCTCATTATCCATCCTGTCATTTTTCTAGCAGATGCGATTGATACAATTTTTATGGTCTTGAAGGTGAGATCCTCCGACACGATCACCCCCAGGTTTTTGACATTAGCTTTTCGCTCTATTGTGTGGGTTGGAATTTGTTTTTAATTCCGATGAAGTTTTTAAATTTCCTCACGTTTTCCATATCGGAGTATTGAAATTTCTCATCATTGAACTTCATATTGTTTTCTGTAGCCCATTTTGGTTTCTGTCTGCCTGGGTCTTGCAGTGTCTTCAAGGGGGACCGTCATGCAAACGGGTGTCATTTGCCAAAAGGGAAGCACGGGGCTGTGCCAAATACCCTATGCACATTAAAGGGACTGAAGATCTGGAAACGCTACCAGAACTGGTAAAGGATCCCCTGACTACTTATTAAATTTAGGACTTTGGTTAATGAAATCATCCTATCTCTCAGTACTAACAATTCAACCAGACACAGATGCTAATTAGTTTCAGTATATTTATGTGACCTCTAGATTTTTAAAACTTTGGCAGTCCACGAAATATTACTCGCCTGGAAAAATTATTTGTAATATTGTTGTTATTTATGTGCAGCTTCAGGATTATTTTCTTTAAAATCTCACATTACTACACTTGCATTAGTATTAAGATTAATAAAATTGTAATACAGTTAACCACTACTATTAGTCTAGTTTTAAGTAGTTTACTATGTACTATTTATCTGTCTAGTTTGAAATAGTTACTATGTTTGGATTAGTCTATGCCCGAAATGCCCCCCGGCATGATAGTGGCATTTCATTTGTACTTAGCAAACCTAAATTATAATTTAACTCTGTAACCTTTACAAGGAAATAAGCCTTTATCTTTATCTATTTAACTTTATGATAGGTATGCATAAGGACTTATACATAGGTTTGCCTACTATCTTTGGTTTACAGTATCCACGGCAGGTCCTTGGAATGTATCCCTCATGGACTACAGGGGTCCTACTTACTTACTTTTGGTCTGGAACTAAATTGACATGAATCTGGAATGTTGTATTAAATTATGATGGGGAATTTGAAGGAGGAAGTCTTGATATGTTGCGCTTTTTAATTGTTGTGTAGGCATGCCTTGGCAAGACAGTGATGGATTGAATGAAGATGGAATGTGTTTCTTCTTTTTTGGGTCACCCTGGCTCAGTCTTTCTGATAAAACTTTTGAAAGAATGAATGCTTTAACAGACTGTACTATCAGAATCAGACATTCAACTTTCCCCCTTCTTATGGGTTCATGGAAAGGTAAAAGATTGTGCCAGATACTGTATTTACCACCTTTCTCAATGCCCACACCTCTCTAGTTTTACTCACTTTTCGTGATTCTAAAATCTCCTTTGATATTGCGAACCAGAACCCGTTATACTACTGAATAGCCCACAATGAATATTGGTGGTTTAGCTTACTCTGCTGGATAATAGGATACCTGTCAAATAGGTGATATTCTCTGCTCCATTACCAAGGCTTCAGAAGTGATTCTAAGGAAATGTCTTTAGGTACACCGCAGGGAGGAGTTCTTAGTCCATGCTATTTATATCTGATTATGTTTACTCTCCTAAATGCTCTACCTGCCTCACCTTAAACATATAGCTTTAAGCATGCTGATTGATATCATGATCCATACATAAGGGCATAGAAGATGAATACCATTATAATGAAGTTCAAGCAATTTGAAATCGACTAGGCCTCATAATATCTTACTCTAAAACTAAGCATATTAACAAGCAAACGACATCCCCCACCCATCTATTTGCAGGGGGTGAAATCATTTAGCTCGTTAAAACTTACAGATATCTTGGTGTAGATGTTACCCTTTAACAAATCACTATACACACTAAACAAGGAATGTAAAGTAGGCTAAATGCTCTCAAAGCTTGTGCTGGCTACAATCCCAAATATGGTGCTAATCGTGAGAATCTTGAGAATGATTGTACATAGCCTATGTTAGGTCCGTAATTGTACTATGATACTCCATGTTGTTATTAGCTAGAAAGAAAGTTTTTCTCTACGACCCTTTGGACAGTTATGCAAAATGAAGCTTTCAGGATTATGCTTGGCTGCTCCCAGATCTACAAAGTTCTTAACATGAGGAAGGAGTTGGTATTCTAGTATCAGTGATAGGATTGTTGAAATTAACAATGTACTCGGTATTAGAATGTTGAGAAACGAAACCCAGACCACTCTGCTGTCACAGTGAATTTACACGTGTCTAGAGGTAAAATACACAAGATCTAAATGGATTGTGATAAACGTGCAATTTCATTAAGTTTTATAACCTGCATTGAACTGTATCACTGTTAGGCAACACGAGCATTTACCCCTCCATGGAAGATGTGTTCATTTTATTCACATACCTTACAAGTTCCCTCCCAAGAAGCTCATTGCTAGTAAATACCTTCCTTAAATCTCTTGTTAGAGCAACTGCATCAAGAGAATTTCTCACCTAGCTGGTAGATAACAAGTTATCACAAGTTTATAACTGTAGGATCTAAACAGGGAGTCTTCTGCAGGGCTGCATATGCCTCTTGTTGCCCACCTCTCCTAGTTAAGAACGATAAATAAATTTGTTGAGTTAGCCATAAGAATAACAACTGGGCGGTCTACCACTGCAAACTGAATTGTTTGCAAACCCTTAATGGCGCTAAGCTAACCTAGGACATGAGG